CGGGGCGCAGAGAGGAGAGAGAGAGAGGAGGAGAAGAGGGGAGGGGAGGGGAGGGGAAAGGAGCGAGGAACGGAGCGGAGCGAGGAGAGGAGAGGGGAGGGGGAGGGGGAGTGGGGGGGGAGGGGGAGGGGAGGGGGAGGGGAGGGGGGGTAGACGGCGCGCCTTGCGCTGGTAGGAGAGCTCGACGTTTCCGAAGGAGCCCGCCTGCAGCAGCAGCGGGGCGAGGCAGAGGTAAGGGCTCTGGGAGGCGCGGGCGTCGGGAGCGGAGCTCGGCGGCGCGGGCGGGGGAGGAGGCAGGGGAGGGTGGGGCAGGCGGCAGCAGTGCAGACGACAGCGGTGGTGGATGTGGCAGAGTGGTTGCGGCGGTGCGCGTGGCGGTGGCGAGGGGGGCGGTGGCGGGGGCGGACGCGAGGGCGGAGGCAAAGCGGATGGGCTGGGCGGCGAGGGCGAGGGCGGCGCCTCTGCGGGTGGATTGCCTATCTCTACGATCCCACTGTCCACATCTCTACGACATCTCGCCTTTGCGGTGGCGACGTGCTCGCCCTTGTGCCCCCACTGCGCCCGCGCAGCCACCGCACCCCCCTTCACCTACGGGACGGCTCCGGGAAGGCTCTGGGAAGGTTCCGGGAAGGTTCCACCTCCGCCCGCCGAGCCACGCACCTCCTTCTGCGTGTGGTAGAAGCCCTCGCCTGTGCCGCACGGGGCGGGCGCGGCAGGTAGCGGCGGAGGGTCCGGGCGGGGGTGGCGAGAGGGCGTGTGCACGAAGCGGGGGTGGCGAGGCGGAGGGAAGAGAGGGAGCAGAGGGAGCAGAGAGGACGGGGAGGGAGGGGGGAGCAGGAGAGGGAGGAGAGAGAGAAGAGGGAGGGTGGGCAAGGAGAGCAGCGGGGGAAGGAGAGAGGGGAGGAGGGGAGGGGAGGAGGGGGAGGCGAGAGGGGGAGCGAGAGGCGGCCACGCACCACCCACTGCCAGCCACGGAGTGATGCTCTGCATGAGGTTGGCGCCGAGGAGGCCGCCGCCCATGTAGGTGGCGCCGGCGCAGCAGGTGGAGCCCTTGTAGTCCAGATCGGCCTTGAGCGACTGCATCTGCCCCGGCGACTCTGGCGACGCCTGCGCCTGCAGCCTCGCGGCAAACGACTCGCCAAACTGCGCGTTGATCCGGCCGTTGAGACGGCCGCCCATGTCGACGCGGCTCGCAATCAACACGCGCTCGTCGCCAAAGTTGGCGCCGAACTCGTACGACGCAGGCATCTGCGCCGAGCCCAGAAAGACGTTGTGGTTCAGCGCAAACTTTGGGCTGAGCGTCTTGTTGAACTCGAAGCGTGCGCCGTCGAAGACGTCAGGCGAGAGAATGCCCTGCGCCTCGCGTTTGAGCTGCTCAAGCGTGCCCGGGTTGGGAAGGTCGGCCATGAAGCGCTTCAGCATCGCGATGTCCGGGCCCGGATCAGGCTGCGGCACCGAGAGCCTGAGCCTACCAGGTGGCTCTCGGTTGTTCGCGTCGTGGCCCAGCCGAACGTGTTTCTTTTTTATTAATTTTTTGGCCTTGCTTGCGCCGCGAGCAAAATCCCGTGCCCAGCGTCGTGAGAGGGAGGTTTGTTGTAAAATTCTTTCTCTGGCGTGATGGTCGCGGCGAGAGTGGGCGAGAGACGGGAGATCGACGGAAGAGCCGCGGGGGCAGAGCTTGGGTGCTTGGCCGTCACACGTTTCTCTTCATATTCTGGAAAATATGCTTTTACGAAGCGATTTTCAGCAGGAATATAAAGAGTATTTGAGAATTAGACCCCATTTGGAGCTGTATTCTTGTCATATTCGCCAGAATATATAGACCATATACGAAAAGAATCGGAAAACGAATTTTACAACAAAACTCCCTCGCACAACACTGGGCACGGGACTGGCGCGCACTGGCACTAACACAGGTACACCGGAAAAAGGACATAGATAGTACTTGGCGAGAAAGCGTGTAAAGGCCAAGGCAGAGCGGCCCAAGCGCCAAGCAAGGCCGAGTCGCGAGTGAGGTTGGGGCTTGTGGGGGGATGGGGGAGACGGCGAAAAATATCCTTTGAAATTTCCTCCTCCGTGTGTGTGGCGGCCTGTGCCCTTCTCCATCATTAAACGTTTGTTTGCTGTCTACCTCTACCAATGGCTATCTGGGGACCTTCGAGACCTTTACCCCCGAGGCCAGCGCCCAGGCGTGCCGCAAGGCGTGCGGCCGAGCCTCGTGGCAAGGGAGCCGTGCGCACTGCAACCTGCTTATTGTGGCATTCTGCCCGGAGACTGCTCCTGCTTGGCATCCTGCGACCCTCGGCCTTGCCATAGTTTTGCCAGTGCTCGCGGAGCGCCGCCACGTTGCTTCCAAAGGGCGCCAGATCGGGGTATCTGCAGCCGTACCCTATCAACTGCTCGATGCTCAATGGCTCGCCCTCGCCGGCGGGCCTCCCCCAGAGCGTGCCCGCCGCCTTTGGCGGCTGCAGCTCCTCGGGGCACTGCGCGCACGCCGCCGTCGCCTTGATCTCGTCGCTTACAAAGCGGGAGTGGCACACGGCGCACTTCTCGGAGCGCAGGCCTTGTGAGAGCCAGGAGATGTCATACCTACGAGCCGGCATCCCTCGCTTCTCAGAACGTTGGAGGCGACGGTCCCAAAGCCGAGGCGCTGTCGTGCCCTGGCGTCTTGGTGACCATGAGTCCGAACACCCGTTCCATCGCGTGCTCCAGGCAGCCGTCGTTGCCCGTGGTGTACCCCTTGGCGAGCTCGCCATACAGGCGCAGCAACCCCACGTGGCGAAAGCGGTCCAGAATCTCCTTGCGCACCCAAAACATCGAGCCGGCGACGAAGCCGCGCTCAAACAGCCGGTCCCAATCCGCCGCCGTCAGCTCCGGTAAGCCGAGCCGTGAGACCAGGGCGTTGACGGATCGCTCATTGATGTTGCGCTCCAGCTGCTTCGCGGTAGCGACGTGGGCCGCGTCGGGGCAGTGGCCGTTGGCGATGCAGTGCCCGAGGTGGGACAGCCCGGCTGCGCCCACCATCCCGACGCCCGCCGAGCCGAGCAGCCGGAGCGACCTCTGCGCATTGGCGGTGGTCGCTGCGACGGCGAGCGACTCGGTCCGCATCCAGGCCTCGGACTTGCTGTGAATGAAGAGTACGAACGGGCACGTCTCGTTGGCGGCCAGCATCACCTCGATCGTCAGTAGCTTGCCTCCGATGTCTGCGCCGCGGTTCTCATCCGACACCACTACCCGCATGCCGAGGCGCTTCGCCTCAACCAGCTCGTCAGCGAAGCTGGTGGAGAGGCGATCAAGGTGCACGTACGCCCGTACAGGCTCGCCGATCCGTTGGATCACCCCGAGCGTCTCTGCTCGCACCTCGGGCCGCGTGTTGAACAGGTGTACACAGGCACACACCCGATGCCCTGAGCGCGGCAGCGTCATGCGAGTGCGCGCAGGGTGATGCCTGCGGCCGCTGTCGCAGTGCTCGATGAGCGGCCCACTGCCTACAAATAGGAGGTGCAATAGTGGGGGGCGCCTGTTCGCCTTGTCTGTGGCACGGCGGGAGAGTGGTGAGAGGATCGACTCGTTGTGTCACCTGCGTGCCGAAGCCACCAGCAGCTGTAATCGGCACTGCCCGTCCGCTCAGGCTGTCGTGAGCGTATGCACCAGTCGACACCCACGCCCTCGCTCACATTCGGTGGTGGTGGTGGTGGTTTTGGTGGTGGTTTTGGTGGTGGTGGTGGTGGTGCTACCGCTGGTGGTGTTGTTGTGCAGTCCAGCCGCCATGAGGCGGCGCGCTGCTTGCAACACAGCGCCGCCTTTTGAGGCCCTTTCGCAGAGCAGTTGGGCCCGCCATTTCCAAGGTCGTCGAACCAATCGCTGTAGGCCATGGAGGGGAACTTGTGGCAGGGACCCAGGATGCGAATGTAGCAGCGCGGGAGGCTGGGGAGCCGCGCGATGTGATGCTCGGGCATTTGCTTGCAAACACATGCTCTGGCGGGCTCCAAACAAACGCGTCGTTTTGGGCAACCGGCAACTGGCCAACTGGGGAATCCGCAGCCGCCCCGCCGGAGGCTGGAGCACCCGAGGGAGGGGACCGAGGGGGGGGAGGTGCCGTGGGGAGACAGTGGGCCAGCCGACGAATCGGGAGGCCGAGGCCCGAGGGCCCCGGGTGAGACCTGGAGTCAAATCAACTGTCTGAGGGGTGAGAGTTGGACTGGTTGGGTAGTAGTCTAAGTTCTGAGCCTGGAGGCCTAACGGGTCTAAGTGTGGCTAGCCACGCTGGAGTGCTTGAGCGGTCTAAGATCAGCGGGAGCCTCTTACATCGGCTAAGTCGGCCGTGGACGGCCTGGGGCCAAGAGGCTCCCACCGTGATCAACGTACAACGATACGGCGCAGCCCCCAAATTTTCTTCGCCTGCGGCGGGCGATCGATCCTTCTCATGCTCAGCAATCGCCGCCTCAGCATCCTCCTCTTCCGATTCTCGTTGCTGCTTCTTGAGCGCAATCTTCGGCGACTTCTCGCCAAACAGTTCTCACAAATAGCCTCAAGCTCAAACAAACGCGTGTCAGAGAAGCCTGTGTATGCTGGTCCTCTTTGAACGATCCGCGCGTGAGGTAGCATAGGGCCTTGTTGGCAGCAGCCAGCTTGTTGCGCTGCTTCGTTGCGATGAGCTGATTGGGATCGCAGAAGTGCATGCCAAGCACCGCCACGATCTTGAAGCAGAACACATCGCAACCGCATCGTCCGCACTGCCATCGGCATGCCGCGCCCGCCGCTTCGCCGCAGCCGCCTTAAGGCACGCATAGCGGCAGCATATGGTACGTTGCGCGTACTTGAGCAGGCGTTGCGCGCCGCAAGTGGCGCACTGGCCCTGGGAGAAGGCGATATGGCGTCGTGCGCGGCAAACGTTGGTCGGGACGCGTCCAGGTATTTTTCGTAAACCTGAAAGCTTTTCAGGTATACCCGGAGTTGGCCTTATGTTGTAGGTATATTGGCCTTATGTCGTCTAAGTTCATGGCCCCCGACCATGAGGGTCTAAGTCTGAGCCCGGCTCCGTGCGGGGGCTAAGTTGAGCGCTCGCTCGCTGCAGAGGCTAAGTGTAGAGCGACCCTCTAGCCCTACTACCCAACCATTAGAGTTGGGCTGTCTCCGCCTCTGCGAGTGGGGTCGGGACATACGAGCCCGCCAGGGGTAGACCCGTCGCGGCGGCTACTGGACCACCGTGACTTACGACGAGATAGGCATGACGATCGGCTGGCGACCCGTTAGGGTCGACAGTTGAGCTAGGGAGTGTTGCGATGGCCACCCAAATGCGAACGCAGGGCTCGACGAGGGGCCAGCGGAGGGGAGGGGCGAGCCGAAAACGATAGAGAGGCCGCGGATACGGACGCGACTCGCCGACCAGGGAGAGCTGGCCCGACCTCCCGGGGAGGGGGGGCGACACGATCCAATGCCGCCGCCCTCGCCCGGGGAAACTTCAGCAGGGCAGTCGACGCTCTCGGAGGCGGCAGTACCAGTCGGAGGTGAGGCGGGGGCGGGACCACGGCCGAAGAAGAGACATCAGAAACGGCTACAGCGGCCGTCACACGACGCTCGGCTGGCGAATAAAAGAGCGAATCAGGGAGAATCGGAGCCCTAGGAGGGCGGGCGGTGGAACCCTGAGACGGGATGCTGAGTGAGGGCCTGTGTACGTGCGTGGTGTACAGTGTCGTGTCCACTAGCTCCGAGTAGAGGGGGCGTTCTGAAGTTAAGGGGAAACCCTGTACGCGGAGCCAACCCAACCCTCGGAGACCCGTGTTTACTTTACGGCCCTTTCCCTGCGAACGCGCACCCCCCAGGGCTAGGGCTCTCTAGAGCCCGTAACCAGATCCCGATCATCCGGCCCGCTGGGTGCGCTTCTTAGCTCCCCGGCCCTGGATGTGAGGCTAATGACTGCACTCCAAGTGCTCCAAGTGGGCTTGACGTGTTTGTATTGTAATGACCCCCGATACAACACAGCCCTCACCCATGGACACTTCTCCCAGTAAGCTAAAAGTACGTACACTCGAGAGGGGACAAACAATCACACACCGACAAATTTTTCTGAAATACACGACGGCTAAAGCCGAACGAAATCGTTATTTATTGTTCACAACCTCTTGCAGGCGTGAACACAAAGGAGTGAAGCGTGAACAGAGTCACGATTTTGAACAGCGTTCCTGTGAACGATTTCGGTGTCGGAGTGTGCTGAACAGCTGTGAATTAGACAGCGTCTCTCTCTCCTTCGGCGAGGAGCGGCGGCACCTGTAATGTCGAGGAGCGGCGGCACCTTCACCGACCTCAAAAACGCGCAGACGGACGCAAACGGCACGCCGCTCTACGGCATCGACAAGGAGCTCGCCGAGAAGGCGAGCCGCGCCCTCCTTCGCGTCACTTCCCCAGCCTCGCTCGACCCTCGCGCCAGAGACCCTGAACGCCTTCCCGCCGTTACATAAATAGGCGGCGTCCAAGTACGACCCCGCGCTCGAGGCGGACTGTCGGTCGTGGCTGGAGGCGGTGACTGGCACGGTGCTCCCGCCGCAGCCGCCCACCGCCGCCGCCACCGCCTCCCAAGCACTCACGGCACCGCCGCCAGGACCTCCGCCATGAGCGCAGCCATCAGTATAGTCGTGGGCAGACTGAATGCAATTCCAAGATCGGACCCCTATCCGCCAACTTCAAGCGACTGGCGACAGGGACGCGGCAGTCACCACCACGCACCCGCTCCTGTATCTGCCGCGCCACAGGCGCTCCCGGAGGGCACGCTGCACGAGGCGCTCAAGTCGGGAGTGGTGCTGTGCAACGCGGTCAATGCCATCAAGCCGGGAGTCTGCAAGGCCGCGCCTCTCGCCTCCACACCGCCTCCCTCTCTCCCCGCCTGGCTCAGCGCCGCTCGCGCCTAGCCACCGCCGCCCTCGCGTCCACCGCCACCACCTCCTCTCGCCGCCTCCGCCGCTGCTCCTCCGCCGCGCCTCGCCGCGCGACTCTCACAGAGTATGTCTCCCCCACTCACACCGCCCGCCTCCAACCCCCTCATGTTTCCTGCAAACCTCGTCCCGCCCCCACCCTTCACCGCCCGCGCCGTCGCAGGCGCCGTTCACGGGCAGCATGGCCTTCAAGCAAATGGAGCGACTCGCCCGCCGGGACTGCCTGCGAGAGGCGGCCCGAGAGACTCACTCTCCCGCGGGTCCGCTCTCTCCCTCGCAGGAGAACATCGCAAACTTCTCGACCGCGTGCGAGTCGCTCGGAGTCCCAAAGTTCTCCCTCTTCCAGACCGTGACCCTCTACGAGAACAAGGCGCGGCCCACAACTCCGCCGCCCCGCACCCGCCCACCTCCGCCGCCCTGCACCCGCCCACCTCTCCGCCCCGCCCCGCCCCCCCCCGCCGCCGCACCGCCGCCGCCCGCGGCCCCTCGTCGCGCCACCGCCGGCCGGGCGAAGCTCCACCGGACCGCTGGCGTAGGACATGGGCGCTGTCCTGCTCACCCTGCAAGCGCTCGGCTCTGCGGCGCAGAAGGCGCGCCGCGGCCGCAGTCTTCTGTGACTCGCTGGACCCCTCCCCCCCTCCCCCGCCTCTCCCGCCTCGCCTCACCCCACACCTCTCTCCCCCCAAAGGTGCCCGGCTACTCGGGACCGGCTCTCGGCGCGAAGCCGTCCGACGCCAACGTGCGGCAGCCCGCAGCGACGTAGCTAGCGACACCAGCTAGCGACCGGCTGCCCAGGAGGGGGCCACCGTCGGCGGTAAACACGGCGCATTAGGTGCGGCAGTTCACGCCGGAGCAGCTCGCGGCGGGCAAGGCCGAGCAGCCGCCTGCCCGAGCCGCTGGTGGAGCTGCCCACTCACCAAGTGAGACCTCTCCGCCGTGAATGCGATAGGCCTCGCAGACCTTCGTTGGCCGGGGCTCGACCGGCACGTCCGGAAGCGCGCAACACTCTCTTTCCGCGACAAAGAGAACCCTCCGAGACACTTCCGAGCGGGGTCGGGTCTAGGGTTGGGTTGGGTTGGGATCTCCCACACACGCCTTGGTACACGCCTCCGTGTGAGTCCCCCCCTCGGCACGCCACGTGTGTCCCTTGCTAGCGCCGACAGCGACACAGTTGTAGTAGCAAGCGACTCCTACGTACACACACACCCGACCCGACAAATTAGGCATGGGCGCGCACGTCGACAACAGCAGGAACATCAACAAGATGCAGCACGTCGTCGGCGAGCCGCGGGCGAGGCGCCCGTCGAGGCGCAGGGCGCACCCTCCCCGAGCCTTCTCGGAGCCTCTTGCTGTAGGCGAGATGGGCAACCTCGGCATCGACGGCACCATCTCGGCCATCGGCGCGGGCAGCCACGGCACGCCCGGCAGCAAGATGGGCGCAAACATCGACCACTCCAAGGATATTGACAAGTTGGCGCAAGTTGCGGGGGCGGAGGTGAGGGCATCGAAGGAGGTGAAGGAGAGCTCTTGAGAGAGAGACAGCTCTTTCGAGCCGGCGCGCGGGGGCTGGCCGGTGCCCCTCTAACTGCGTGGCCTCCCGGCGGGAGGACGCGGCGCTTTTGAGTTTGTGACCTTCAGGTTGTGTGTGTGGGCTTGTACTGTGTCTGTGCACTGTGGTCACAGATGGGGAGCCGCCGGGAGGGGGCGGGATATAATCTCTTCTGTATTTTCTATTCCCTGTGATATGCCTACTGGATGCGGAGGCTGGGTTGCAGCTTGTGCACGCACAGACTCAGACAGAGCGCAGCGCCACAGCGGCGCGGCCAGCGCTTGCGCTAAAGTAGAACCTCGAGATTGTGAAAATATGTGATACGGCTTTATACGGCTCTTCCTATACAGCCATAGCCCCCATAGACCATAGTGCATAGACAGAGAGGTTGTGTGTGTGAAGCGGGAGAGACCCTTTTGCTTTTCTGCCTGCAACCCTGCATGCACTCGGCTCCATCCAGCAACGGTTGGTATCATTTTAACAAATACAACTCTCTGACTGACACAGCAGACAGGCTCGACACAGGCGCGAGTAGAGTAGAATCTGATCTTGGGGCTGTGGTAGACGAGATACCCACTCGAGGGTACTGACTACTGTGTTGCAGGCGCCTGTTGATGGGTCCCCAGATGACAGCCCTGGGTGGGCAATCCATATACGCCTAGTTGGACCTCAGATCGCCCGACCGCGTCCCGGAGCGGCGCTCTGCCGTCGGATTTGCGACGCCGCCGCACCGACCCGCGCCGCGGCCGGGGGGCCCCACTAGAGGCCGAGGATGTCCGTGACGGACCGGGTCGAGCTCTGTGTCAGTGTGTAATATTTGTAGACTTTCCTCGGATACGATACTCGTATGATACTCGGCCGTCTCGAACGGCCAGGCCGCTCGCTTAAGGCTGATTGGCTAGCCGAGCGGCCTACCTCCAACAGAGCGGTCTGGCAACCAACGAACGCGTGGATCCGGCCGCCCCGGCCGGCGGGTTACGACTCGAGCTGTTGCTGTATGTATGATGATGTACGTACGCGGTTTATTTAGCGCGCCGACAGACAGACGTCAGACCGCCCTCTCCATCACCCTCGCCCAGGGACCTCCAATGCTTCAGGTCCGACAGGTTCGGCACCGGTCACCGCCTCGGTATACAAAATCTGGTGCCGGCCCGGGAAAATACCCGAGGGGCGGCAGAGCCCGAACCCCCTGCTGCTCAGAATTTTACAACAAAGCCCCTGCACGGGACTGGCGCAGAATGTATGTTGTGCACCTCGCCGTGCCTCTCCTGCTCTCCCTCCCGCCGCCGACGTTCATTGCGAGGCGTTCCGTCTTTCTCGGCGGCGCAGCAGCCGCAGCAGCGAGCAGCCGACCGACGCGGGCGATCGGATACGACTCGATTCCGTCTGCCGCCTCCTCCGCCGCCTTCAACCCGGACCAGCTGGTGCAGGCGCGCAAGGCGCGTGAGGCGAAGGCGGCCAAGCAGAACAAGGCGGTTGCACCGCTCGTTGCACGCGTGCGAGCATCGACGACGCCCGGCGACTTTGACGCCGCGATGACAGACCTGACGCTGTGGATCATCGGCACGGGCGACCCTATACCGCCACCGTCGGTGCTGGGCGCGACGACGTACGACGGCCCGCTGCCGGACGGGTTCCAGACCCGCGAGTTGGTGTCCGCCTGCAGAACGGCTCTCGACGCCCTGCCGCGCTACACCCTGCGCGCAGGGACGATGGTGCAGGGCCTTCCTGAATGTGTTGAGACGAGAACGAACGGCGGCGTCTGCACGAGCGCTGGGCCGTTGGCCGAAAGCGCGTACAAGGCCATGCTCCGGGAGCTCAAGGCGCGCGCGCCTCGACAGTACGACACGCCGTACGGCCCTGTGGCCTTCTAGAGGACACGTGCCGGCTCTGTGATGCATCCTCACGTGCGAGAGAGAGACGGCTCTTTGTGAGAGATAGGATCACGTAGGATAGTCACAGCAGATTGCGAGGGGTGATAGCAAGCCGTCGTAAGTTTGCGCATGTGTTGTTTGTTTACTCTCTCCAGAGTTATCAACTCGGTCTCCGCCACCACGGTCTCACCGGTCTCTCGTTTCAGCAGGCCCCGCCGCCGCCCCGCCAGAGCAACGGCGAGATGGGAGGCGGTCGGCCGGTACCATCGGCTCTTCGAGCGAGCTTTCAGCTCACTTTGACGACGCTAGGAAAATCAATTCGTTGAATCCAGTCCGAGATGCAGTGAGGCGGAGCCTACACTGTACCGAGCACTGTACTCTCTGCTCTCTCTCTTCAGTCTCTCACCCCCGCCGTGCATGTGCATGTGTCTCTCGACTCTCGCGCGTCACGTCTCTGTCGTCTCGCCCCGCTCTCACCTCTGGACCGGTCCCTCCTGGCGGCAAATCATGCCGTCGAGGGGGAGCTCTCCGATCGCCCAGAACCTGTCGACTGCCGCGTGGCATGCGCCCCAGTCGATGTAAGCGCTGTCGTTGCGCATGTCCATCCCGGCGATCAGCGGCATGCCGGTCCCATGGCCGACGGCTTGGGAGATGAGGAGCGCCGAGTTGGGGAAGGCCTGGCGCATCTTGAGCGTCCACCCGATGGCCGTGCCAGGGTCGTAGAGATTGCCCGCGATCAATACCTTGACAGCGCGGGAGGGCTTGGCTCAAGAAGAGTGTCTATCTCGCGAATGCAACGGCGAGTGGGGGGGAGGGGAGGAGCTAGGCGCGGCTCGAGCTGTGTTGTGCGCGCTCGCTTGCAGCCCACCTTCGCTTTCTCGAGCGTGCCGCTTCGGATCGGGTCGGGCGTGACCTGCCAGTCGAATGTTGCGCCAAACCAGCCGAGGAAGGCGCCCGTGGCCGGGTAGTCGAAGGTGGCGAGCGCCTCCCGGTAGACGCGCATCGCACTCTTGAGGCTGCGGCGGCCGTAATAGTCGACGCCGATGATGCCCGTCTGGTCGAGGAACGAGTCGCTTCGGCCGAGGGTGATGCCAACGTGCGAGCCACCGATGCAAACCCCATACCGGCGCCACGTGACCACAGTGGCCGTCGCGTTGGTGGCGTTCGGGATGACGCAAAAAGCGTCGAGAATCTCCTCCACCCGGGCCTGCCTCCTCGCCAGATCGGTGGAGGTGAGATCGACGAGGATATTGGTGCAGGTCGTCGTCCACGACTCCAGGTTCATACACGTTGAGAGGTAGCCGCCGACCATACCGAGGCCAAGCCGGACCGGAGCGAGGTCGTCGCGGCCGCCTGCCTTGGCAAAGAGCCCCGGAGAACGGAGCTCCGCGACAAGGGCGTCGAACGCGGCCCATGGATCGGCGCCAAGCGCACATTCGGTGTGGTTGTATTGACGGGAGCGACGGGCGACGCACATATCAAGCAGTTTGTCGACGCCTTGCTCCAGCCCGCGGGCGGCACCGAAGGCGAGCTCCTTGCTCTCGGGGTCAGAGGGCAGCACATTCGAGTCGAGCTTGAGACGGTCTAGCTCGTCCCTGTAGATGGAACCGTAAGCGGCGCCGACCCCTGTGCCATAAGAGATGCCCGAGAGGGAGAGCTTGGGCACTCCGAGGGCGTCGCGAAGAAGGTTGAGGTCGTGTGCGAGCACGTTCGAGCCTAAATAGTCGAGGTAGTTGTACCTCGCGCCATCGGAGCCTCGCATCGCCCACTTTGGGTCCCCGTCGCACCTCGTGTTACGGACCTGCAACCTCCTGAGGTAACCCTCCACGGACGCCGCGTCGGACGGGTCGACATCCACCCACGTCTCTCCCATTGCAGGGCTGCCGTCGGGGAGCGCGCAGCTGCAGGACGAGAAGTCGGAGACTCGGTATTTGCCCCACCGGGCAGGATCGGGCGTTGGGAGCTTGAGCGTGTCGTGGGTGCATTGAAGTCTTGGCATTGCCTCCAGCACCGCGCGCGAGGCGGCATCGTATGCCTGTGCGTTCTCTATCTGGACACCCCGCTGTGAGATTCCGATCGCGAAATACATATCATTCCCCGCGTTGTCCTTCTTGGCGGTCGCCGCAGCCGCCCTCGACAGGATCACGCCGCAGAGGGCGCCGCTACTTGGACCACCGCAGTGGCCGACCAGGACGCCGCTCTCGGCCGCCTCTTGCCCTGTGGCGGTGTACATGAAGACAGAGAGCGCCACAGTTGGGCTGCTTTCAGGCTTTCTGTGGTAGAGCGGAGTCCTGAGAATGCCGAGGTGTAGGGTTCCGTTGGCAAAAGAGGCTGCCCCCGTCCACTCAAGGCCGTGACCATAGCCACTCACGTCCCGGCGAGGGTTGAGAGGGTTGTGCTTCCGATTGCACTTTGCCGGGACGCTGCACTCGGGCATGAGCTTCCTCTGGTACTCTGGCAGGCGGCGACAGTATAGGGGGATGGGGTGGCAGGCAGGGTCGGCGCTGGTGACTCGGAGGCTCATGGCACTCCAGTCGATCAGAAGTGCAGCGATGGACAGGGCGCCGAGGGTTGCTGCCGCAAGCAAAGCAAACCACGCGCAGGCAAAGGGCCCTGTTTGGGGACGCGACACAACGTGTCGAGCAATCAGAGGGTCCTTGAGCATCGTGGTTTCGTGCGACGATGCTGTGCCGCGATGTGGGACGTGCGCAGCCGATAAAAGTGTTTCATTCTTCAGCCCGTATAACCCGACACCGATCATCCGGCTCGCTGGGTGCGCTTCTTAGCTCCCCGGCCCTGGATGTGAGGTTGATAATTGCACTCCAAGTGCTCCAAGTTCTCCGGGGTGGGTAGGGGGGGTCCCCTGCGTCCCACATCTCGTCTGAGTTAGACTGTTGAGCACTTGAGCACTGGATAGGGTCGATTCCTCATGGAGACTGTCCTACTTTACTTACTAGTACTGCAGGGACGCGTGTCACAATCTCCTTTCGTCAGAGAGACACTGCTCCTTCCCCCGGCTTGCTCGGCCCGAGCACTCTCCTGACAGCGTCCTCCGAGCCCAGGATCGGCAGCAGGTCGGGCCGCGGCCCAAACGCCTCGCGGTAAACGTCGGTCGGCCGGCCATTGGCGACGGACACGGAGCGGCGCAGCTCAAACGAGAGGGGCTGGAAGAAGTCGCCGCCGGACTTGCGGTTGACCATCACGCCCCCAACGAGCGCAACCTCGGAGGCCCACTCCCACACGTCGGGCGTCTCCTTGATGCAGTTGTCAAGCAGGTCGCGCACAATCGTGTACATCATGTACGTCACGAAGGTGATCGGCTCTGCTGCCTGCTCGAGACCCTTAAGCCGCGGCGTCAGCAGGTCGATGATGATTCCAAGCTCCTGGCAGCACCGGAGGGGTTGGGGCGGTGAGCCGTGCGGTGGCGCCTGCTGAAGTCTCGAAGCTGGCGCGCCGGGTCGAACGGGTCGTTGTCATAGTCGGGGATATCTCGCACCGCCGAGGGCGGCAGCAAGCCCTCCTTCCTCGCCTGCTCCGCCTTGGCCTGGATGGCCTGGAGCCACGAGCGGAGAGGAGGGGGGGCGACTCCCGAGCGCGGGTGGGGGTGAGGCGAGCCTAGGCGGTGTCTCGCGATGCCACCCGCGCCGCGAATCTCGACGCGATCCCGGCGCATCCCGGCGCATCTCCGCATATCTCGGCACGCCTTGTACGACCCGACTGCCGCGCCGCACGCCTTTGAGACGGCGCTCTGCCCCTCGCGCTGCAGCGCGCCTGCGGAAAATTCCGAGGGGCTTCACGGAAGGCAGCTCGGGCGCAGCCTCTGCCCCTCGCGCGGCTGCTCTGCCCACGCGCCCCTCGCCGTCGATGCCGACGTGCGGCGCGAAGAGGATGAGAAGTTTCCCCGAGTCGGGAACGTGGTGCAGGTAGGCGCGGAAGCCGGACTTGCCGGCGAAGGGGAGGCCGCCCAGCCCGCCGAGAGAGAAGCCCTGCGCGGAGGGGGTGGGTGGGTCGGCGGGGTCGCTTCCGCTGCCGCCGCGCCGCGCCCTCTCTCGACCGCGCCTCCTGCCAACGGGAGACCATCACGTCGACGAGCTGCTCGTCTTTGTTGTTGACCTCGTCCGAGCAGACGCTGTGCGCGAAGAGCGTGTTCTGAGGCGTGAAGCCGCGCTGGTAGAGCGTGCGTGCGATCGCCTCGTCGAGGTCGCTCGAGAGCAGCGCAGTGGGGAAGAAACGACCCTGCGCCTCCTCCGCCCGCCTCTCGATGTACAGCCCTCGGAATGTCTTTTGAGCCTATCGACGCGAGCGGCGTGCCCATGAGAGGGGCCAAGACGGGGTGCCGCCTCGGGAGGCGGCTGCTTGCCCATGCAAACTCCTCGCTGTACTTTCCGACTGCGAGGGCGCTCAGGCCCGCCGCGACGCCGACGAGTGCAGTGCGGCGCTTATAGTTGGCCTCGATCTCCGCCGCGAGCTCGGCAAACTCGTACTTGTCAATCGAGCCGCTCGTGTCGACGTCGTAGCTCTTGAACAAGTCCATCGCAAACTTGACGGACCGCTCCGGCCTGACCGGGCGGGCAGGCCCGTCAGCTCTGGGCTGCAGCTCTGCCATTGGCCGGCTGCATCCTCGGGCTCCTCAAGTCAGTCCTCGCGACGAAGCCGCGAAACTCGGCCAGGTCGATGGTGCCGCCGCCTATTGGCTCCGCCGAGCCGCGTACAGGACACGCGTCGAGGAGACCGGCTCTCGCCGGAAGCGGAGCCGTCGGTGTCAAACTTTACAAACAGGTCGTCGAAGCGCTCCCGCTCGATCCGGTAGCCTGCTCGGAAGAGCGCTTCTGCAAGCTCGTCCTTGTCAATCTCGCCGTCCGAGTCGCGGTCTGTGCGGGTTAGGGTTGGACTAGCGTAGGGGTTAGGGTGCCGTCACGCGTGTTGAGTTAGCTGTGGCTGATGTGTCAGCATCGCACCATACTGGTAGAAGAGCGCCTCCAGCTCCTCCGCCGGGAGCTGGTCCTGGCCCGCACCCCAGTCAAAGAGCGGGATCTCCCCGTCCAGCTGCTGCACGGCGACGGCAGCTGCAGCTGCCGACTTGGTCTGCCCAGCAAAGCGCTCAGCTGCAGCTGCCGACTTGGTCTGCCCAGCAAAGCGCTCATCCATGCATGGAGCAACGCTGCGTGCGTTCCAAGGCTCGGCGACGACACGGCGCAGCGCACGACCCGTGGAGAAGGCTGCTGCGCTCAGCAGAGGCAGCTGCAGCATATCGAGCGAGGCAGTGGCAGCGTGATGGAGCGAGCTGGTTGGACGAGTCGACCCTGCTTGCTGGTGACTTCCGGGACACTTCCGTGCGAGGGCTTTCTTTTCTTTTTGGTGGACCCTCCATAAAAAAGAAAGAAAAGAAAAGTTGGATGGGATCCTCCAAAAAAGAAAGAAAGAAAACAGACAACCCAAGGGAGGGATGGGAGGACGGCACGCCGCCACCACACAGGGATTTTAAGGAGAGGTGTGTGGTGCGCTATCCGTCGCCCACCCTAGGGAGTCTGCCTCTTCCTATCTCTCTTCGCAGTCTCTCGCCGATTCTCGCTGCAACCTTCATGCCACCTCGCGGTCGTCCCACCATCGTCGTTCTCTCCCTTGTCACTTCCTCCTCTGTCGCGTCGTTCTCTTCTGCCTCGTCCTGCGACGCCGCCGCCTGCCGGTCCCTTGTTCTCGCGGCTTCTTTCGCCTTTCGGCGCAACTCCGTCCTCCTCGCGGCGTATCCTGGCCCCTCGAGTCTATCGAGCTCCCCTCGCGCAAGGACCACATTTCTGACTCCCACTCCGATCATTTGCCTACAGGTCATGTTGTTGCTCAGGTCCACTCTCTCTTCGAACACTCGTGCCTCTACGGTTGATGCCGGCGCTGGGGTCCCCTTCGGATGCATCGTGACATCTGACAACTGGATTTCCACTGGTTCGTCTTCCTCGGAGTCATCTTCCCCGTCCTCCTTCCGCTCGGCTCTTCGCTCGGTACGTTCGGTGTGGCTCACCCTCCATGCCGTGATCCTCCATGTCTGTGGCTGTTCGCCAGAGATTATCTTTCCGCAAAGCCTGCTGTGCCTCGCGGCTTAGACACTGCGACACGGATGTACGACCTCACCAGCCGCGACCTCGCCCTGCTCTGGGCGCCGCCGCTCGTCTACGTGCTTGCGTACGTGCCGCTCTGCCGCGCCCTCGTCCGGCACAAGCGGATCGCCGCCGCGGTGCTCTCGTGCCGCTCTGCGCACAACGTGCTCATGGCAGTCTACTCGGCCGCCGCGCTGGCTGGCTCAATCTGGGAGCTCAGCGCACGACCGCTGACGCCGTACGGGCTGCTCTGCCAGCCAGTGACGCCGGCGCCGCTCCTCGTCAAGACGTGGTACGCCTCCAAGTTTGTGGAGTGGGTCGACACGGCGCTGCTGCTCGCCGCGGGCAAGTCGCTCTCCGCGCTGCACTACAACCACCACCTGACAACGGCGACGGTGGTTGCGTCGCACTTTGTCGGCCGCGACGTGCGCACCTCCATCTTCGACGTGCCGCTCTTCCTCAACGCGCTCGTGCACACGCTCATGTGAGCCTTTCCGAGACACCTCTAGGACACCTCTTGAGCACTCTTCCGAGACGCTTCCGAGACGCTCCCAGAGACTCATCCAGAGGTTCTCCATCTCCCGCCCGCAGGTACGGCTACTACTGGCGGCCGGCGCTGCTGCGGCCCATCAAGCGGCTGCTCACGCGCATGCAGATCGTGCAGCACATGACGGTGCTGCTCGCGGTGGTGTACACCACCACCACCCGCCTCTACGGCGGCGCGGAGTGCGACATCAGCGTGCGCGCCAACGGCCTCTCCCTCTGCCTGTACGGGATGTACCTCGCCCAGTTCCTGCTCTTCTACGGCCGCGCGTACGGCGGCGGGGAAGGCAAGGCGCGCACGCGGCGCGCCGACTAGGCCGCCCTGAGCGTGGCGAACACGCGTCCTCCCATTGACCGCGCAGCATGCGGCGCCGCACGCCTGACCCCGTCCGGCCTCCCACATGACACCTGTCCCATGGACCTTGCCACATACACACCGGTCCGGTGTATCTCGCTCGTCGCGCTCGCCGCTGTGTGACCACGAAAGTGTGTGTGGGCTGTGAGTGTGAGTGTGACCTGTGTGCCGCCTTTTGGCTTCTAGTCCATCCCTCTCGGCTCTCGATCTGCTTGAAAGTGCTTGAACTTGTGGCAAGGGTCGCGTCCTGTCCATGGTCTCTAACCTCGCCGCGAAGCTTATAATTCCAAAATTGGTTATCGAGAGAGACAGATCCCGCCTGCGCCTCGGTTGTGCGGCTCCACGGCCAGCTCACATGCCAGCTCAGTCCCGGTGCGGCGCCATCGCCCACGGCAGCAGCGAGAGGAAGAACTGCACGACGGGGTGCGTCTGCGCGCGGAGCTGCAGCCGCTCCCTCCGCGGCACCACCAGACGCCCCGGCAGCCGAGGCTCAGCCGGCGGCGGCGGCGGCCTGTCGGGGTCGGCGAGCGCCGCGGCGAGCAGCTCGGCCGGCAGCTGGGCCGGTAGCTCGAGCCCGAAATCGGAGGGGTCCGCCTCGGCAAACTCGGTGTGCTCGTGCGCGCCGCAGAAGTACTCGGCTTGCCGGGCGACCGCGCAATCGGCGGCGAGGGCAACCACGTCCTTGTCCCGCGCCTCCAGGCGGCGCAGCAGGGAGTCTGCAGACGCGAGGAGCCACGCCCAGAGGTGCGGCCTGCGGGCAGGGCCAGGGGGAGGAGTCAGAGAGGGGGGGGGGGGTCCGAGAGGGGTCCGGGGGCCACGGTCTGAGGTGGTGGTCTGGCGACACAGGGCCGCCACAAGAGCGTGTCGCCCCCCCAACAAGAGTTGCCTCGCCCGCGGGCGGGACCTCGAGGGCGGGACGGGGAAGGCACGGGCGATGCTCGCCTCTCCTTCCAAAAGGACGTGTGCTGCGAGGCGTACAGGCGGAGGAGAAGGCCCAGCGTCGCGCCGCACGCCTCCTCCTCCACGAGCGGGTGCGGCACCTAAGAGTCGCTGCAGCCGTGGAGAGCCCGTGCGTCCTCAGAACGCCTGCTCCTCCGCGAGTGAGTCCGGCGCCGTCTGGCTCTTCTCCTCGCCCGCGCGCCGCCCGCCTCCGAACGCCTCCTCCCACGCGAGCGCGGTGGCGACGCCTCGCGCCGCCTCCGGAGACACCTGCTTGCTCAAAGTCTCCTTGGTCCGCCGGAAGGAGTGAGGCACCGAGCGGAAGGCGCTGCGACGCCGCGGGCGACACCGCGCCTTCCGCACGAGCAGCGGAAGCAGCGGCGGGAAGAGCAGCAGCGCGCGCCGCAGCTGCGCCTCCCCCGCCCCGACCGCCCCCTCGGCGCGCGGAGCCTGGTCACAGGAGCGGCGGTGTGAAGAGACTTCTATCCCCCCTCTCCCCCTCCCTCTCCCCCTCCCTCTCCCCCTCCCCCCCCGGCTCGCTGAGCCTCGTCGAATGCGCGCCCCTCGCCGAGGTCGCGCCAGCCGCCGCCTTTTGGGGAGAGGGGTCGTGCCTCGCACGTGGAGGCCGTGGACGAACTGTGAGATCGGTGGAATGATGGAGAGAGGCTGGGAGATTGCGGGAGATCGCGCCTCCTGCGTCGGGCGACGCGGAGAGGCGCTCCGCGAGGGCGAGCGACAGGGCGTACTGCGGGTAGAGGGGGAGCCCGTGGGCCGGGAGGGCGGAGGGCAGCGCGAGCAGCCAGCGGTGCTCGCCTGGTCGGGGTCGGGGTGTGTGTGGCGGGGGGGGGGCGGGGTTGGGTGGCGGGGGGGCTGGTTCCTGGGCAGGGAGGAAAGGCAAGGGGCGTGGTGAAAGACAGAACGTGGTATGGGGGGTGGAGGGTAGAATAAAAAGGGGTGGGGAAGGCGGACGGTTCTCTCCGGGGG